GTCTCCGGGGGGGTTTGGGAGTCCCGGTGCTGATTCGGGAAGGCTGGGCTTGTCCCGGTGCTGGTCCGGGACCCCCACACACAGCCAGACCCCGGTACCGAGCCGGGACCCCCACACACGGCCGGCCCCCGGTACCGAGCCGGGAGTCCCGGTGCTGCTCCGGGAACGCTGGGCTAGTCCCAGTGCTGATCTGGGAGCCCAGTGGTATGGCCAGCCCCGGTGCCAGTCCAGGACCCCCACACACAGCCAGACCCCCAGTACCGAGCCGGGACCCCCACACATGGCCAGTCCCCAGTACTGACCCAGGAGTCCCACTGCTGCTCTGCAAACACTGGGCTAGTCCCGGTGCTGATCTGGGAGCCCAGTGGTATGGCCAGCCCTGGTGCCGGTCCGGGACCCCCACAGATGGCCAGCCCCTGGTACCGACCCAGGAGTCCCACTGCTGCTCTGGGAACACTGGGCTAGTCCCGGTGCTGATCTGGGAGCCCAGCAGTACGACCAGCCCCAGTGCCGGTCTGGGAGCCCCGCACACACAGCACAGCCAGTCCCGGTCTGGTCTGAGAGTCCCGGTGCTGCTCTGGGAGCCCCGAGGCACAGCTCCCCCAATGCCCATCTGGGATCCCCGAGAGGCACAGCAAGACCCAGCGCCGATCTGGGACTCCCCGATTCACGGCGATACCCGGTGCCGGTCTGGGAGCACCGAGTTCACGTGGAACCGTGGTGCTGGTGCTGCTCCGGGAACCCCAGGTGGGCAGAGGGACCCCAAGTCGTGATGAGCCCCGGTGCCATCTCCACCGGCCTGGTGTGGGGTGGATTTACCGGGGATTTACCGGATCCCAGCTGTGCGGGTCCCCCATGGCCCCAGAGGCACCCGGAGCCCACGGAGAACACCCTGCCCCACGGCCGGCCCCACACCACGTCCCCATTGCCCCCCCTTTCCTATATATCATAAGAGGTCCCCATGGGGAGTGCAGCCTGCGGCCGGTGTCTGGTCATGAGTGGGGGACACATCGGAGGGAACCCCTCTTCCCACTGCAAGCCTGGCTGAGGGCGGCTCATCTGCCCCAAATACCAACTCCAGGAAAGTTCCTTCTGCTGGGGCTTCGGGCTCGGCAAATGGCACAGGAAGCTCTCGCTGTTGCGTAGTATTTCCCGAGTCGTGACCCCGATCTTCTCCCCACCTTGCTGAGAGCAAAACCTTTGCCCTCGGCCTCCGAGCTGGGATCCGGCTCAGCTGGATGCCAGGCAGGGCTCAGGTGCACCCCTTCATCCATGACGTAACGCAAAACCGGTCCCCCCCAAACCCCGGCGGAACAATGCAGCATTGCTCAGCTCCAGCGCGGTCGCGGCAGGTTGTTGCCACAAGCACGTTTGGGCTGTTATTTTTAAAACCTTGCTTTTTGTAACAGGAACTTCGTAAAGGAAACATGGTATACGGCAAACTCCAGGGCTGGGTGAGCTGCGGTTTGTGACAGCACCTTCATTTCCGACGGGCTGCTCCTATTCCTCGCTTTGGTTTCCCACGTAACGCAGCTCGAAGGCTTCTTCACCGCGGCGGGGGGGACGTGCAAGTCACCCTGCCGGTGGCAGGGCACCCGCAGCCCCAGCCCTTCCTGTTCCCATGGCCAAAGCAATGGGTGCGATGGAGGGGAAGGTGTTTTACCCGACTCCAAGACTAACCCTCCGTGCAGGCGGGCCAGAAAAACGCACGTCCCAGGACCCTTTTTAACTCCTGTCCCAGCCCCGCAGACCCGATGCAGCAGAGCACCGAAACGTGTGGACGCAGCCGATGGCGGGAGCGATGCTGTTGGCTTCCCGAGGGCTGGATGGGACCCCGGCACATCCAGCCTTCTGTGGTATCCACAAAAATCAGGTTAAAAAAATGGAGCTGAGGCCCAATCCTGGCCTGGTCCATCTGAGCAGCTTGCGGAGACTGCGGTCCGCTCATCTGGAGACCTTTTCCAAGCAGCAGGCACCCCGCAGGGTGGTTGCTCCAAGGCTTTTCCCAGCCTCCCGCTCCTTTCTGGTCTTGTGTGTCACAGCTCAGGAAGGGGTTTTGGCATCTTCTGGAGCTCATTTTCCTGGCAGCTAATGGAGCCTTAAATACCCTTTTGGGGCTTCAGACTTCTCAACTGACAGTCGCCTCTGATGGGATATTTTTGCAATAATAGGAAAATTGCTGGGCTTTTTTTTTTTCTTCTCCCCCTTCTGAGCTCAAAACCAGGAACATGCCACTTGGTACAATCTGTCCGTTTCTTGAGATGTGTTTGTTTTCTTCCTTTTGCTTTCATGTTTATCTCAGGTGTCTTGCCTTTAACAAGGACCATATGTCCTCCCAAAGGTCGTTGGCATTGTTTTCCCTAAAAGAAGCTTTCCAGGGCTGGTCCAGTTGGAGAAAAAATTCTGGGCTTGTAGGAAAGCTCCCTGAATTTCATATAAATCTTGCAGCCAAGAGGACTCAGTCCCTGGAGTTTACTGCCTACGGCTGAGGATCCTGCTCCATCCCTGGTGGGTTTTCAAAGACAGCTTCGGCACTGCAGGCAGGGAGAAACCCAGCCCTCCTGCGCATGAAGGGATGGACTGCACGGGTGGATTTCAACCCTCTTAAACCAAAACCCCATCTGACTTGTGTTTAGCAAAGCCAGACATCATTTTTCTTCCAAAGCCTTCCCAGCCTCATCCCTTATCTCGTACATCGGTGCTGCCAGCAGCCTCACTCACCACCCTGGAAAGGCAAGGCTGAGCACCGGCGCGGCAGATCCAGGTTTCGGTGCCTTGGCTTGCTGGGTTAAAAAAAAAAAAAAAAATCAACCCGTTCACCAGCTGGTTGTGTCTTACAGCCCCGCAGGCTGAGCACCCTGGCTCGGGTGCCTGGCAGCCCCGGTGCTGCTGCCTGCCCAGGCACGCGCCTTCCTGCTTCTAGAATGGCTGAAAAATGCAGGCAGACAATTAGAAAAAAGGGCTTTTTGCAAGAGCTAAACAATTTGCCGGGAAATGAGCTTGTGCAAAGTTGTGTCTGGATTTCATGAGCTGAAACAAAAAAAAAAAAACCAACAAAAAAAAACCAATTAACCATGCTCGATTTATGTCCAGGAAAGGAGCGGGAGGCAGGGTTAGGTGATGCCGGTGACACCGGTGACACTGCGAGCGTGGGACCGGGCAGCCTGCGGTGCCGGAGGGCAGCGGGCACGGCACAACGGCTCCGAAAAGAACATCGTTGGTGTGAGCCACAGCCTTGCACCGAGCAGCATCTCTTTATTGCCTCCATTAAGCATTACGTCCGTCCCTTTGAGGATCGCTGGCACAGGAGCAATCTGGCACGGAGGGGGCCCACAGGGAATGACTGAGCAGTGCGAGGAGCCCGGGAGGAGGAGGAGGAGGAGGAGGAGGATGCAGTCGGGGAGGGCTCGCACAGCAGCTCTCACCTCCTCAGCGTTTGGCCGGAGAGCCCTGAGCCTCTGGGCTTTTTTGGTTCCTGTTTAGCAACATTTACAACTAAATCGCGTGTTGCGGGGATAATTTTTTTTTTTTTTAATTTTATTTTCATTTTTTCCAAGCTCGGTAATAGGAGGGGGCTCTGAGCTTTGATGTAACCCCTGAAGCTCCAAACCATATGCGTTCGGGCATTAAAAAGTGGGTTGCCCAAGGAAGAATCTTGGGGTGGAGAGTGGCAGCCCCCTCCTTGCAGTGGCTGTGCCCAACGTGCTCAGGCCGGCTCGGAGCCCAGCCCTGGCTGGGGACGTGCTGCCATCTCTGGAGAGGACCACGATATGGCAGTCCCAGGCCCCACGAATGATTTATCCCTGCTGAGGAATGATTTATCTGCTCGGAAGGCGGCCTGGCGTTCCGCCGCCGGTGCAAACCTTGTTGGCTGCAGCCGGAGTTCTGCTCGCCCGGAGGCAGCGGTGACCGGCTGGAGACTCCAAGTCTGCTCCCAGAGCAGGTAGGTCACCAGTAAGGACAGAACGCTGATTAAAATTAGCTCTACCGAAGCCAGATGAACATGTCAAGGTCACCAGGACGTGCATGGGCCCAGCCGGGGAACGGGGACAGTGCAGGGATGGGGGGGTCACCCCGGCAGCCTGCAAGCCCCGGCCGAGCTCGGCGGCTCCCTGATTTCTTTTCTCTGATGATAAAGTCACGGATGGGTCAGACATTGCGGTGTGTGCATCATCTCAGGGCTCGGATGGAGTCTGTATTCGTGCACCTTAATAAAGGACCTGTTTGGGGTTTTTTAATTTAATTGCTGCTTTCCACAGAGCGTGGTTGCCCTGGGCTCTAAATGCACATATCGTGGGGCAGGGACCTCTCCTGGGAGGCTCTCTAGGAGTGATTCCTCATTGGGGTGATGGGCAGATGATGGTCTGTCCCAGCCTGGGCACCCACGGAGCACCCACGGCACACATCGCTGCACGCTCCTGGCCTGGCCGTGCCTGGTCCGTCTGTCCTGAGCGGTGCGTGGATCCGTCTGGTGGAGGAGATCCCAGCCCGGGGAGGACAACGGCAAGGTTTTGCAGAGCCGTTATCTCACCTGGCCTTCATCCTGCTGCGGCGAAACAGGTCCGGCGAAAGCCACAGCGCTGAGCGTGAGCCCAAAGTCCGGGCTGTTGACTCCACGGTCCCACGTGAGCCATCTCCAAGTCAATAACACGCCAGTAACATGAAACCGATACGCCAACCAACCTTCATTTCATTTCCTTCTCCTTAGACAACCCTGACGAGAGGTGCTGAGCAGGGAGCTTGCAGGTCCCCCCAAATACAGCTCTACCCTTTTCTCCAGCCAGGAGAGCCTGGCAGGTCAAACAGCCAGAGCCAACCCAACCAGGTCACCTCCCAAAAGCCCCAAGACAAATTTGCCTGAGTTTCTTCCTTGAAAAGCAGAATCCGTTTGACACCAAGAATAAATATCACATGAGAACTCGCAGGAACATGACTACACCTTGCAAGGCTTAGCTAAATAGAGGGAGAAAAATATTTGCCCTGTCTCCTCCAAGGACACTAAGCAGATAGGAACTTTGGTCATCATAATTTTTTTGGCCTAAATGGTCACTTAAGGCAGATATTAAATCCAGTTAATAAGTGTGGTTGAGGGAAAATGGATCTTTCATTAAAATGATCATTCGCTTGCATGCTTGCACCGCGAGGTTACACATCCTGCGCTCTGCTTTCTCTCAATTACTGCTCTTATTAGGCCTCAGGATCATTGTAAATACCAAATTAAAATAATTACAGCAGGACAGGTAGCCATCTGAGTAACACAAATGCAACATCAGCGCTTGAAGGAAGCAATTTTCAAGAGAAGAGCGAGCACGGCAGAGAAACCACAGCCCCGCTGGGGGGATACGGGGTTAGGGATGTGACGACAGGCATCCCACGGAGGGACGATGGGCATCCCACGGAGGGACCCCCCCTGCCCTCCGGCTCTTCAGCACGGCCGTGAGCTGCTGCTCAAGTTTCTGAGTCTCCACATCCCCAAAGGCTCCTTCACGGCCCCCTCAGACCAAGCCGGGGACACCCCAAACCAGCTCCGGATAACCCCCCCTCGGCGTGGAAGGGGCTCACGCACAGGACAAGGCAATGGAGCAGGGCTCTGAACCACTTTTATTTGACGGGGAGACACACACCCCTCTCCTCCCTGTGCGTCCCCGCTGCCCTGAAGCCACACGCCAAAAACCCTCCTGCTTTTCTGGAGCCAAAGGCTCCCCAAACCCTCCACAAAGTGCTGCTGCTTGGAAATATTCACAGGTACCCGGGAGTCCCCCCCCTCTCTGGTTCCTCTCCAGGGCAAAAAAGCAGCCCAGGGAGGGGGCAGAAACACTTCACGCCCACCCCTCGCTGCGAGTTGGACGCTGTCCCCACCTGCGACAGCCCCGGGATGCTCCGGAGCTGGGGTGCGGGGCCGAAGGCTTCGTTCCTCATCCTCACCAGCAGCCGCCAGCTTTCTGCAAGACCCGCACGCTCAGGGGAAGCCGAGCTGGGGGGTGTCTGTCCTGCGCCAGCCCAGGGGACAGAACTGGTTGTCCCCCCCCGGGTCAGGTCCTTTCAGGGTGGCTTTCCGGGAATTCAACCTCCGGCAAAGCCTGCGGACGAACGTGCGGAAGACGGAGGTGCGGAAGATGATGAAGACCCAGGGGTCCACGATGGAGTTCACGGAGAGAAACCGCAGGGCGCTGAGGTCAGCGTCCTCGTTGAAATCGGCGGCAAAGGCCCCCATGTACGCCCGGATCTGTCAAAAAAAATGAAGAAATAGGGAAAAATGAAGGAAGATGTCCCTACAGGGGTAAAGCTGAGAGCAAAAAGAATCCCGGGGGGGAAGCAAAAGTTTTTAACCCCTCGATATCCTTATGCATCGAATCAGCACATGTTGTGGGTTGCAGACCCCGAAACTGGGACTTGGGGCTGGATCCTGGCACAGGGGGACCATGTCCCCATCAGGGCCAGGAGGTTAGAGCTGAAGATACGATCCCAGGGACTGGGGTTGTGTCATGGAGTAAACGGAGCATCCAACCTCCGCAGGCTGCAGCAGTGGGTGCTGCTGTGCCCCCGAGGCTTGGGGCACCCCACTCGTGTTGCCCCCCCCACCCTGCTGCGATGGGTATCGGACCAGGGATCCGTCAGATAACTCGGCTGGACCGCAGCCCAGTGCTGCAGCATCCAGTCCCGGGACATGGAGCACTGGGAGTGGGGGGGGCAACAAGGGCTCTGTCATGCTAGGGGTCTCCCACCCCCACCCCACCAGCGGGACCCCCAACCTTGGGGAAAAAGGGGGAGGATTTCCCCCAAGTTGGGAAATCCAGTGCGGTTCAAAGGGAGCTGGATCTACTCGGCAGCTCCGGGAGACAGGGGGGAAGAAAGGGGGGGGGGTATTTAAAGGTTTAACGCAGTGAACCAACCTCCCTAGGAAGAGGTGCGGGCGGGGGGGGGGAGTTATTTCAAGGGGCTAAAGCCATGAACGGACTCCCCCCCAAAACCTCCAACACCTCTGGGGCAACCCCAGAGACATGGGGCGGGGGGGGTGACAGTGGGGGGGGGGGTATTCCAATGGGGTTAAAGCAACTACCAGACCCCTGGGAAGGGGTGGGGGACACTCAGAGGGGGGCAAAGTAATTACCCAACCCCCCCCCACCTCTGGGACAGAGGGGTAGGGATGGGGGGGTTATTCCATGAACTAACCCCTGGGGACGTGGTGCTGGTGGTGGGTATTCTGGGGGGGGGGCAATGCAATGACCCGACCCTCCCCGGGACAGGCTGGTGGTGACGGGTGTGTGTGTGGGGTTATTCGAAGGAGTTTTAAGCGATGAACCGGGACAGGGGGGTGGTGGTGTGGTTATTCCAGTGGGATTAAAGCAATGAAATAACCCCCCCTCCTCCTGGGACAGGGGGGTGGTGCTGGGGGTTATTCCATGGGGGTTAAAGCAACAGCCAGACCCCTGGGACAGGGTGGGGGACACTCAGAGGGGGTGAAAATAGTTATCCAACACCTCCCCCCCTGACTTCCCTGGCACAGAATGGTGGTGATGACGGGTTATTCCACAGGGGTTAGAGCAATAAATTAAGCTCTGCACACGGTGGGTATTCAGAGGGGGGCAACCCCCTGGAATGGGGGGGGGAAGGTTTATTCTAAGGGGCTTAAGGCAATAACCTGACCCTTGGGGACAGGGTGGTCGTGGTGGTTATTTAGAGGGGACTAAAGCAACGAAGCCCCCCTCGCAACACCTCCAGGAGTGGGTGGTGGTGCCAGGGTTTATTCCAAGGGGCCAAAGCAATGACCTGCCGCCCCCCCAGGACGGAGTGGTGATGAGGGGGGGTTATGCCAAAGGGGTTTAGGTAATGACCTGACCCCTGCGGCCAGGCTGGGGGAGTAGTCAGAGGGGGCAAAGTAATTCCCTGAGCCCCCAGGAGCAGGTGGTAGCGCCAGGGTTTATTCCAAGGGGCCAAAGCAATGACCTGCCACCCCCCCCAGGACTGAGTGGTGCCGATGGGGGGTTATTCCAAGGGGCTTTAGGCAATGACCCGACCCCCATGGACGGGGTGAGGGACTGCTCCGAGGGGGCCAAAGCAACAATCCAGCCTCCTTGGCAGGAGGTGGTGGGGAGCGGGGATTTTATTTTCCAGGGGGTTAATGCAATGACTGACAGCCAGGGATGGGGTGGTGGGTATTCGGGGGGGGTGTCAAAGCAACAACCCGAGCCCCCAGGGGTGGGGGGGGGGTGTTCCAGGGGAGGGGGTCAGCTGGGTTACTCACGATGAGCGGCAGGGAGCAGATGGTGAAGAGGACGGTCATGAGCCCCAGCAGGATGAGGTGGTCGAGCTCCTCCATGCGCGGGGCGGTGTCGGGGGGGGGTCCACGTCGGGGCTGCCGCCGGGCCATGCCGTAGAGGTGCCGCATGCTGCTCACGTTGCAGGCGCCGATGGCCAAGACCAAGAGACCCATCAGGCTGGCGTAGAGGACGGGGAAGGCGAGCTGCCGCGGCCCACCGCCGGCCATGCGGATGAAGCACCACGTCCCCGGGCAGTACTGCATGGGCACCCCGAAACCCAGCAGCGGCAAGGCGCAGAAAAGGGCGCAGAGCCCGGCCGCCGCCGGCACCGAGGCGGCACCCAACCTCCGGGTGAGATGCCGCCGATAGAAGTAGGGATGCCCCAGAGAGAGCCAACACTCCAACGCCATGGCCAGCAGCAGCAGGGTGGGCGCCAGCCCGAAGAAGGCCATGAGGAAGGCGAAGAGCTGGCAGAGGACGCCCGGCTCGCCTTCGCCGCGCCCGCCGGGTCCCAGTTCGCTGAGGCTGCGGTTGTAAGCGTAGGCGGCCAGCACGATGGGGCTGAGCAAACACTTGCCCAGCAGGTCGGTAACGGCCAGCCCGCTCACCAGCACGTAGAAAGCGGAGACCCGCGGTGGGCGACCGCCGGGAGAGCGGGAACGCCGTCGGTGCTGACCCAGCAGCAGTAACGCCAGCACGTTACCCACAAGCCCGGCGGCGAACAGCACCGAACCGGGCACCGCCGACTGTCCGCTTTCGATGTACCGGCTGCTACGGCACCGGTAACCCTCCGTCTCCATCGGGTTATCCCGAGAACGGGATGGATCGTAGCAGGGGATGGGAATAACCCGG